AGGGTGCAAAAGCTCTTACATTTCTGTGTCAAACCAGCAACCACGGGGAAAAAAGTGTCTAATTAGGAAAACTGATGGAAATACTCTTTGCTGTTCATGAATCTGTTATGACTAATTTTCCATAAACGTACAGCAAGCTAGCCAAACAAACAAATCAATAGAAGAGAATATGAGTAGCTCAGGGTTGAACTGTGGAGTCCTTGGGGTTCTCTGAGCTTGGTTGTGCCAGCTATAAACCCAGGTTGCAAGACTGAACAGTGGTTTCAGTCCACATCTTACTCATGGAGTTTCTATCTATAATCCAGCAATATTATTCTCATTGAGTATTGTTACTAGGCAAAAACTGGGATGATAAGCATCATGACCCATGTCCAATGCCACAGCAGAGACTCTATCAGGTGTAACCATAAAGTTGTGACCATGTGAATTCATTTCAGTCAATGCACTGCTCTTTCCTCAGCACTTGCATGCAACCCCACCAGCAAGCACTGTGTACTTAGATAAACTGCTGAACTAGAGTTATCACTGAAAAATAATAATTTGAAAAATGTTACTGCGTCCTTAAGAGACCCATCTGTATCTGAAAGCATACCCAAACATACTATAAACACCACTTTATAGTATATGTAATACATTTCTCTAGAAGAGAAAGCAAGAACAGTAGGACTATTTGATGCTCTTATAAGATTCTCCTGAGAGTCAATTTATGCCTTTCTCCATTCTACTTTCAGTAAATAACCTAGTTTAGAAACGGCTTTAATTGCTTTTCAAAAACTGCTTAGAGCTTTACTTTTCTCTCAGGATTAGTAGGATAAATGCTCCATCACCCTCCATTGTTTCTGGATGAAGCTCAGGTAATGCTTGTTTTAGAACACCTTTCACCAACTTTGGTTGGTTCTATATTGGGCCTTTAACTTTAATGACTAAAGGTCAAATATAGAACCAACTAAAGTCCTAGACAAGCTCAAACCTCTTTAAAGACCACCACCTTCATCCAGGTCTTCCAGGCAATGGAGATCCTACTCTCTTGTCTATCTCTAATAAATAATCTATTTGCAGGAATCAGGACCCATGCATTGCCTCAGCCATGACACCATAAAGATGTTAAATGGATGCTAAAGATCTAATGCAAGGCACTTTATAATGGATTCTAAGTTACAATTAATTAATTAAACAGTTTAGCTAACAAATTTGTATTTATCAAATGTGTTTAGTGCATTTAAGAGACAACGTACGTGAATTCCAGCTGCACAGCGTACTCCTTTGATATGAAGGGTATGTGATCTGGTGCCAAACGTTTAGCTAGCTGAAGTGCACTATCCCAGTGTTGCAAATCTTTTCTCATCTAATATCAGAAATAGTACAGATTTCAACAAATTACAATTACCTTTCCCAAAGCAGTACGGTATATTTAAAAAAGAAAAAAAATAGCATCTAGTGAAATATTAGGTGGTTTAAGCATTTACCTCAAGTGCAGCAGCAGGACAAGAAGATGCCAGATATAAATCCTGAGCTAAATTAAAGTTATTGGTGTACATGGCAAGATGTCCTGCTAAAAGACTGTGATCTTCTATGCCCTGAGAAAGAAGACATGGGCGTCTGTAAGATTTTTAAAATTTTCAATTAAAGCAAATGCAGCTGCGTGTGTACTGTTGTTGTTACATAGAAGTCAAAACAACTGATGAAACAGAGAAACTTGTATCTCTGTCTTAGATGTAAAGTGAGGAAATGTGCTGTATGAGAGCGATGGACTGAATCTGTATCTGGTGCATGTCTTTCACCTATTAACAAGTGGGTTAAAACTGGAGAGATGTATAGGGCAACGGAAACCCTATGCATGCAGGGAATCCTCAATGTAGTATTCTGAGAACGTTTGAGCTTTGTTAAGATGTACGTATTTTCAGTACAATGTCTCCATTCTGGGATTATTTTTCCTGCTCAATTATCTGCTAATGAAGTTTTTTCAAAATATTAAAGTTGTACTTCGCACTTGGCCTGAGCAGTAAAGTGGCTCAGGGCCATCGTAATCCCATACCATTTATAAATTTAAAAAACTGAACCGTAATAGTTGAACGCATAAATCTGTACCTTTATTTGTTCTAATGACATGACCATTCCAACATTTTTGATCGTCCTATATACCCGTATTGCAAATTCTAATTCCATGTGATGTAAGCAGGCTCTGGCTACCTCGTTCCAGCTTGACTGATTGTTCAAACGTTTGCATATCTCCCAAGCCTCTGAAAATCTGGGTCAGACAACATTAAAAGTAAAAATGATACTAAGCCTGCCTTCTATATGTTTGAAAATATTCCATAATCAATTGGTAACTCACCTTTTCAAAATTAAAGTCTGAGTTAGCATTTGTTTCAGCTCATTACACCCCAGGTCTTTCAAAGTGCCAAGGAAGCTATGAGTATTAAGGAGGATATTGCTGGTTTTCCCACTGTGGGTCTGACAGGTTAACTCTCCGTTATATAAGAGCAACGGTTTATGTGCATAAGGAACTTTGGTAGCTCCTGCCAAGATCACCTTAGACCCTAAAAGAGAAAAATAGTTAAATTTGCTGTTCACATCAGATTACATCAGCACTAAATTGCTATAATCATGAGAAAAAAGTGCATTATTTTCAGTTTCTTACAACTAGTCTTTACAAAACTCTATGGTAAACACACACACACACACAATGTAAAAGGTCCTTAATGTCTAAGAATCAGTCAGGAATGAAAACCAAATATATATAAATACTGCTCTATTGCCAAAATATATATATATAGACCTGAGTCCAGTCATGGTTGTTTATAAACTATGATTGATAATGTGTAAACCTAGCCCCATGGTTTAGCATAATGTGTGAGTCACCCTAAAAGGAGACCCTGACACCAGGAGGCCCCATGTGACTATCTATGTTTTTATTGGGACTCTCACATGATGTTATTCTACTGGGTTCAGACCCTCCACCCTTAAGCTCTAAGAGCAGAGAGATACAAATATTATATTATGTCATGCCCCCATGTATGTGGTTTTTACGCTCCCCCTCTGTAACCCCACCCCTGTTATCTCCCCCCAATAAAAAAGCCCATGCTTTATTCCTAAAATTCTGAGCATCCTGTGGATGGAGTTCTCCACAACTTAACAAGTAATAAATACTTATTAAACATAAGATCAGAAATTTTATAGTTCCTCACTGTCACATATAATAACATTATTATGATCAACAAGATATACAAAATAGCATCTTAGGGTTTGTTTGTTTTTCTCATTCTTGCGCTCTTTCTGTCTTCCTGCCAATCATAAACATTAAAGCTATGAATTGGTAATTTCTTGTTTCCTTATATTGCTCTATAAAATTCTAAGATCATAACTGGAATAATAAAACACCTGCAATACCTTGTATGGTATCATTATGAAATACATAAGTGTATATTTTGTCATCATCATAGGCAACGAATACACCCTTATCCAGTGGCCAGTTTTCCCACAGAATGCTCTTGATGGTTGGTTGGAAATTTGGAATTTCAATGGCAATATCAGTTATCTACAAAAGACAGCAGCACAAAATTAGCTAGTAAATAAAGCCAACCAGAACAGGGTGAATTTTCTATTATGTGCTATATGACTGCTTTTGGAGGAATAAGATGGGTATATCTCTCTTCCATTTCTGAGTTAACAAACATAACAGGTGCTTGTCAAAGAATTAGGAAAATATTAATCTCAGTTTACAGAACTAAATAAAAATCCACTGGTCACAATACAACAGAAACACAGACATCTTCAACAGATATAAAACAGGGTTGTTTAAACAGGGTAACATGTTAAGTGAGTGAGAAAATACTAATGAGACAAAATGAAAATATATACTGTAGATAGATAGATAGATAGATAGATAGATAGATAGATAGATAGATAGATAGATATTGGTAAATTAATTTTGAATTCAGGACAAACAAAACTTCTGCAAATTAAAGGATTAATCTAAATCTGGTGTTAATGATATCAGATAACATCCTATCCATAGAACTAGTATGGAAAAGGATCTTAAAACAGTATTTGAGAGAGAAAGCTAGTTGCAATTTAAGGGAAAACAGAATTTGTCTGAAGACCATTAAAACTGGAATTACACATTTATAACTTTATAGAAAATGAATAAGTTATATTAAAGAGTTTTGGATTTCCCCCCATCCCCCGACCCTATACACATGCACTGTGAATGGGAGAAGTGATTTTATTTTTGTAAAAGAGATAAATGTACTTTCAAATATATTTGCATTTAGTTTTAGATCTATCATAAATCTATTTTTATAACTTTTCATTGTTAATCTCAAATGCCTTTCCACATAGTTATATTAACTGTAAACAGATGTATTCTATGTGAAGTGCATTTTGACCTTACAAACCATATTCCAACCTATAACCATAAGCATGATTTTTGAAAGAGATTTAGAAATAGTTCTTTTTTTACAGTTTAATAATTTCCCTAATAAAGAAATCTGCTTTGTTACTGTTAACCAATATAGTCCCTTTATTTAACTCCTCCTTCTTTCTATTACCATGGGCATCTATGGTATGTCATGGTCATTTTGCTGCATTATCTATCTACTCTAATATCCAAAGAATCATTGAAAGTTTTCTATCAGTTTCACATGTATGCATACCAGCAGTACTGTATATAGGTTATTAAGGAATAACTAAGTAATGAGATATCACTGAAATTGACAAAGATTTTCCATACACTGTTTCCCTAGAGACCAGAAGAATGAACACTGAAGAAAATGGCAGTGGGCAGAAGAACAGAGAAGGCAGGTAATAGAAAAAAGGGGACTGAACTGTCACTAACCATGACAAGGTGGAATTGCATCTGAAATTAAACACATTATAGATCAGTATTCAGAACCAGAAAATACAGTGGGGCAAAGAAGTATTTAGTCAGCCACCAATTGTGCAAGTTCTCCCACTTAAAAAGATGAACGTTTGACCTCTGTCATTGCAGTAGGTATGGTGTTCTTTGGATGCCACACGGGGGGACCTAGTGAATGACCTGCAGAGAGCTGGGACCAAAGTAACAAAGGCTACCATCAGTAACACACTATGCCGCCAGGGACCCACACGGGGGGACCTAGTGAATGACCTGCAGAGAGCTGGGACCAAAGTAACAAAGGCTACCATCAGTAACACACTATGCCGCCAGGGACCCACACGGGGGGACCTAGTGAATGACCTGCAGAGAGCTGGGACCAAAGTAACAAAGGCTACCATCAGTAACACACTATGCCGCCAGGGACCCACACGGGGGGACCTAGTGAATGACCTGCAGAGAGCTGGGACCAAAGTAACAAAGGCTACCATCAGTAACACACTATGCCGCCAGGGACCCACACGGGGGGACCTAGTGAATGACCTGCAGAGAGCTGGGACCAAAGTAACAAAGGCTACCATCAGTAACACACTATGCCGCCAGGGACCCACACGGGGGGACCTAGTGAATGACCTGCAGAGAGCTGGGACCAAAGTAACAAAGGCTACCATCAGTAACACACTATGCCGCCAGGGACTGATTCTTTGGATATTAGAGTAGATAGATAATGCAGCAAAATGACCAAATACTTATTTTCCACCATGATTTGCAAATAAATTCTTTAAAAATCAGACAATGTGATTTTCTGGATTTTTTTTTTTTCTCATTTTGTCTCTCATAGTTGAGGTATACCTATGATGAAAATTACAGGCCTCTCTCATCTTTTTAACTGGGAGAACTTGCACAATTGGTGGCTGACTAAATACTTTTTTGCTCCACTGTAGAGGGTATGTAGCAAGCAGCTTTTATTCTGTGACCAAAAATAATACAGGTAGTCCCTAGTTTAAGAATGAGTTCCGTTCCCAAGGTCTGTCCTTAAGTTGAATTTGTATACAAGCCGGAATGGTATTATTGTATAATACTAGATAAGTAGTATTGTGTATTTAACTCAAATCATTGTGTATTTAACTCAATTTTTGCTACAATAGGCTCAGTTCTTAACTATGAATTGTCCTTAAACCAGGCATTCTTAACCTGGGGACTACCTGTACACTTTTATTTAAGTATAAAGCCGGGAAGAATCCCAATAATGTGGAAAACATTTGAAACTATGTGTAATTTTGGCTTACAAACTAAACTGCAATCTTGATCCCATAAAAGAAATGGCAGTCTTACAATGTGGTTTATTTTTTAAATTCTACTTAGATGGGGAAGATGCAGGTTCAGGTGCCTGCGTGACAGCTCTAGTTATTTTTTCATCCTAAATATCTCATAGTTCATTGAAGAAAAAAATGAGACCATATTTACATTATTTGGTAGAAAGTACATAGGAAATTACTGAAGAAAAAGTAAGAGTGTAATACTTGTAGAATTCAAGCTAAAATGTAGAAGTACAAAGGAAATGGAGTAAACTTACAGGACAGTAAACAAAACCATCACTTTTTTCATCAACAAAAACTAATTTGGATCCATTGGGATCTGGGAAGATTTTTCTCACACCAACAGAATGCCGATACTCATTGACATACTGCCAGTCTTCAATGTAAAAATATCGAATAATGCCAATCTAACAAATAGTGAGAAGGAAAGAGAGAGTAAATGAACAAACATAATATAAATCATATAAAATATAGATGTATTACTTGTTATCCATATTTGACTTGCAAAAGACTTTTAATCTGAAAACCTACAGAATGTCAAATATATATACCCTTCACTGAAATCACTGTTCTTGTTACAATAGTAGAATAGGAATAAAGACAGTAAAACAGTTTTCAAAATGGAGCAATATAAACTTTGGTATCCTTCAAGGTTAGGTGTTTTTTAAACTAGATACTACATACTATAGGACTAAAGGTGAGTTGTGAGCTTTGCTGATGGCACGTAATTACTTAATTACTATTGGTGCTTTGAAAAGAATTGGGTAAATGAGCATTAACATAGTAACTGGTTTTTATTGAGTAACCATGAAAGCAAAATCTAATTTTGTTTTCCTTGACTGTATGCAAAATGAAGAGCAGAATGAAAGTATCTGAAATAAAGGAAGTTCAAAGCAAGTACAGACCTAGGCACAAAAATTCCTTATTTCACATTTATATTCTGAATGGGATCTCTGTTGGCAATGACTAGTCGGTAAAGAGATTTGGAGTGTGTAGATGCGTTTACTTTGATATGAATGTTGACCCAGTGTCTGCTTGCTGTGAAAAACGGTAAATTACATGCTAGGGATCTTTAGGATATAACTGTATTTGAAATGTTTTGTGGCATTCTGAATACCACATCTTAAAAAAAAAAAAAGTTAATGCAGAAAAGGTGAAGAAAAGGTCAGCTGAAATGATCAAGCAGTGAAGCAATTTTTTTGAAGAAAGACCACATTCGGGAATAGTTAGCTTAGAAAAATTGCAAGGAGAAACCATTTGCAGGATATAAAGCTATGGAAAACAGGGCACCATCAAATCTGCTAGAACAAAGCGTTGTGATGCCAACCAATTTAATGGCCTCAAAAGGACCTAGACCAGTTCATGGAGTATGAAGTTATCATCAATCGATACAGGACTAACAGCAACAGCAGATGATGTGGGCTCAAGATGAAGGGGTCTCTTAGGTCTATGCCCCGGCTACTGCCTTTTTCTAGGCACCTGATTCACCCCTGTGAGAGCAAAATGCTAGGCTAGACACTCTAGCAAAGATGGCCCTAAAGTAGTTTACCTTCCGGTCAACATTTTAGGGCCACTGGTGAAAGGCAAACAGGTTTTTCTGTCAAAAAGACAGTTTCCCTAACCCTTGCAGGAACTTAACAAGGGGCAGATTCAAAATTCTCACACTGCATCTGACAATGTGCAGATACGCTTCCATTATGCTGCTGCAAAAAACAACAGGAGGTGTAGCATTTAAGTGCAAGCCTCACGGCTGAAGGGAAAATTATGAAATAAGTAGATATGCAGGACAAAGTCAACATTGGTCCCCGTTCCTGTTGCTACTTCCGTGTAGAGAAAGACTATTTTACCAATAAAGGGAATCTTCAGATTGTTTGTCAAACAAACCAAAATCTGGAAACAGACTGGAATATGAGCTTCAAGGACTTCTCTTCTTGAAACCCTTATCTTTACAAATACAGATTTCAGGAGAGACTAGACTTCACTGTCTGGAGAGGCTCCACAAAATTGGGTTCTGAAGGTTGACCTGTGATACTCATTTTCTATCCCAAGGATCTTTTTAGGAGCAAAAGATCCCTCCCACTTTTCTCCCTTCCTATGTTAGCGGAGAGAGAAAAAAGAGGCTACCTATTGAAAGATACTTCAGGATTCCCACAAATGTAAGGAACCAAGCAACATCTTTCAAAAGCTACTCATTTTTGTTATCCTGGCCTAGTTCCAAACAGAAAGTAAAAGAGATAGTGATTGGGAAAGAGATAGTCAAGAGAAGAATGAAATGATGATTGAATGATGATTGAAGAAGAGCTAAAAGAAAGACGATGAGAACATAGAATGGGGGGGAAAGGAGGTAATGGGACAGGTATGCAACCTGGAATGAGTAGGCAGATGGAAGGACATATATTTTTCTTTGTTCTTTTGCTCCTTTCCTTCTATTAGGTGCTAGTTGCTGTATCTATTCTCACAAGATGCAAAGTCGGTTCTAGCAGTATCACAAAATCTATGACTGCAAAAAGATGACAATAATATAAATAGCAACCAATACTGCTGTAATGATATGAAAGTTGAAGCAGATATATACTTACATCAGTACCATAGATGAGGAACTCACTAGTTAAAGAGTGGCACAAAATTTTACTTTTATCATCTGTATCTGGGAAGAGTCTAGTCTCCCGTTCTTCCTGAGTATTTGAACGTTCACTTTCTATCTAAAATAATAACAAAAACGTTTTGTTTCAGAATAAGAAGTTAATAGATTTTATTAATTCATAATTTGAAGTTAAGGAAATCAGTAAACATCTTAATCTTATCCTTTCTTGTTATTAAAAAGTCAGCAGAAAAGCAAAAAGTCAGCAGAAAAATCTTAGGATTTTTCAAACCAAACCAGTTAGATCTATATATTTGGCTGGCAATTCTATACCTTAAACTCACACGTTCTAGTGAATCTAGCTCTTTGTCTTCTCACCTGCTACTAAATTACACTGGAAAATGTAATCCTGCTTTTCCATCTTGTTGGGAGTGAAAATAATCTTACTGCTGTGTTGGATATAACATAAGTTGCTGGCTCAGATTTCTGCCTGCAGTTTAAAAGTCTCTTTAGCCATACTTCATGCAAACTTCAGGTGATTCAAAATTCTTAACATACTTACCATATGCAACTGAACTTTACCGTCAAAAAGTGCAGCGGCATAATCAGAATTAAGACACATACTGGCTACTGTTCCCAGATATTCCATGTCCTTGAGCTTTTTTACACCTGCAACATTTAAAAAAAAATATTTTTTTTTCTGGTATTTTTTCTTTGTTCGTTTTTTAGCCTGCCTTTTAAAATACCTCTGAACGTTTGACAGAGCAGATTCAACTTGTGAAGTTTAGGACTATCTAACCTATGCCAGAATGAAATATCACAGCTTCAAGAATGATTATTCTACTTTCTTTTTTTCCCATTCTCTGAATTACAGTTTAACATGTCATATAAATTAGTGGTGCAAAAGAGCACAGCATAAAGCAATAAATATGTCCTTTTATAAGATGAGCAGTAACTAAAAAATACAGCAGTGAAACACTACTGAGAAATAATGGAGCTAGAGATATACTTACTGCTCTCTCCAAGAACATAAAACCATGCACGATTATTCATGCCCACAGCCAAGTGATAATGACCCACCGCAACAAAGTTGGGCTCAACTTCCACAGAAACTGTAATTGGTAGTTCCTGCCAAGACAGACCACATTGCTTGCGCTGAGGACTGAGTATGGTAAATCAAAACCTTTATCTCTATGTGAACTTTAAAAATGAATAAAGTGCCATACACTTTCAATCTGGTTGGCCACGGTGACTTCGAGAAGGGAGGTGAGATACGCGATCCGTGTGCTGTACGAGTCTCCAAGGATGGGAAGGTTTGTTAGGAACACATGGATAAGTCCTCGCTTGGTAGACACTGCCAGCAACTGCCCGTCATCTGTCCACGACAGCTGGTCTAGACCTGAAATGTTGATGATATCATGTTGAAAAAGAGTGTTTGTCTTGGAAAGCCAAAAAACAATGAAGACTATACCCAAAAGTACATTTTGCACACTCCTGTATCTTTGAGCTGCCTTTGCTGCAGGAGTTGGAAATTCTGGATGTTATAGCCCCAACTCATCCAGAGGCTGGCAAATTAGGAGGGAATACCTTTTAGCATGTTTACACTTGTATTTACTTATTTATAAATGCATACATTCCAATAACTCTAGGGATATTTAAAAAACCCCATATATAAAATTAACATAACAATCTCAGAAACTAAAAGGACTGGTTTAATCCCCCTCCCAAACAGATATAAGGAGGGAGCCTATCTCTGCCCCAACAGCCATTTATTTCACATTAAGGGTCCCATCAGGGAAAAAGCATAACTTGCTGCTGATGTTAAATGAATCTGTGGTGGGACCTGCAAAAGACGCCCCACTCCGATGCTAAACCTGCAGGATGGACTGTACAGAAATAGGCAATCCTGCAAGTAATTTGGGCCTAAGACCTGTGTTTGGTTATAATTTCTTCTTATTGGGCAGAAAGAGTTCTTTTTTAAAATCTTAGTTACTGTGTGAAGGTAGGGAGGAGACCTAGGCTTCCTCAAGGCTGCCCATTTAACGGTTCTCCAAATTTGGGACAGGTTGCACCAGTATTTTGGCTTGCCTGCTCCCCTCCTTCCCTTCACATACAAAGGGGGAGAAATTAAAACGTGCTGCTTCCTAAGGATCCTGATCTGGGGGGAAGCTGCAGCTTCAGCAGTCTATTCTTTGCTTTATCCCAATGTAAGCACCCGCTAAGATTTATTATTAACTGAAAGCTGAAACAAGTGGAGCATGAAGCATATGAGGTCAAATTTGGTACTGTTCATTCTCAGTCCTTCAAAGACACTTTTCAGAAAAGCTCAGCACTGAGTAGCTACTGAAAATTAGTCTTGTTTGATCTAATGCAAACACTTAATTTGGCAAGCCATCAAATTGGGAAGTTGTCAAACCTTTATTTTCATCCTCTAAGTTTATGATTGCGTACATTTCATTCAGATCGGACAAGTCGTGAATCTTGATGCTAAAATAAAAGAAAAATCAATTTCTTCAGTATTTTTCATTGTAATAATAAACTACATAAAATCAATAATGTAATCACAGGGATTTCTTGAGAGCTATATTTTCAAAATTAAACTGATAACATTGAATAAAAAATTCATGAACTCTCACAGCTAAACCTTTACAACTGTGAAAAACATACAGAGTCATGCAGGCAGACTTTCATTTGGATATTACGTTTGTTTAGGCCAGCAGTTCTCAAACATTTTGGTCTCAGGACCCCTTTACATTATTAAAAATGATTGAGGACTCCAAAGGGCATTGGTTTATATGGGTTATACTGTATCTATTGATATTTATTTTATTAGAAATTAAAACTGAGACATTTTAAAATATTTATTTATTTAACTTCACAAACCCCATGAAAGAGTCTGGACAGCTCCCAGGTGTCCCCAGACCACGTTTTGAGAACCATTGGTCTAGGTCTTCATTTGCCCAGATTTGACAAGACAGTGGAAGCTTTCCAGTTCATATATACATTAAGGAAGCAACACTGATGCTGCATCCAGTTGTGAATAACAGCACCCCTCCTTCCAAAATTCAGAAACTTCTTATGTTGGAAAAGGACAATATTAAATACAGAAATATATTATACCAATCAAAAGACTTCTGTTCAGAATAAGAGTCCTAAATCAGAATTGGGATGAATTCCCAACTCAACAAAAACTGCCATATAGTAGGTTCAGTATGGATGCTTTGATAATAATGATAATAACAACAACAACAACAACTCCCAGTGAGGCACTACCTTGACAGGGTTGTGGGGCATGTGTGCTCCAAGGAGGATGGGAGCTAAGCCAGAGATCCAACCGTACTGGACAGGTCTCATCAGAGGAGCCAGATGAAGAGTATCTCTCCCATAAACAATATGGTGAGATGTAATTTACAGAAACCTATACCAGATTGGTCGTTGCCCAGGTCAACAAGGACCATGCTAGGTGTTCTAGTTCCTGGACGTTTGGTGACAAGTGGGCTACAAGACTCAGGACTGTTGGCTGAGCAACCAGGGCCAGCAGCTGCAGAACGATTGGAAGAAAAGTTGTTTACCTGTTGCAAATATACA